TGCCAACCGCGGTTATGCAATGCCTATACGGATTTACACGCGCATAATCGAAGTTTTTGGGAACTGTCCTCTGAAACAGGAAAAGAGCCGTTGCGTTGTATGCGTAATTTCCGGCGAGAAATTTGCATCAGAATCGATATGAGTAGATGTGTGAGTGGGGTTTAAACCCCGGGTGTGCTCAGAGGGACGTGGGGCCGACGAGTTACGGGGTTGCGCAGGTATGTGGAGAGGAGTGAAGTGAGAACACGATATTTATTTAACAATTACTAGATGTATATTACATTTATGAAAAAGTTATTTGAAAAACATAAAGTGTAAATTGATGGTAATTAAATTTGAAAATCGTAATTCAATCTACCAAATAATATTTGAGATACAACATAAAATAGTTGAAGGTCTGTAAAAATTTAAATCAAAAGTAAGTATACACAACTAATTAAGAATGATTTATCTTCGTTTATTAATAAAATTACGTACGTAATTATTTTCTAATTCCGTGGACACTCACTGTCGGTTTACCTATAGTATTCGTAGGGTTAACTTAACCCTTTGCACTCGAGACCATATCTCCATTTGAAGGGGTATCATTTTGCACGTCTTAAGATTATACACAGAGGATCTTATAAGCCACCTGTCTCTCTAAAAGCGCCACAAGAAACGTTTTTAAGGCCTGATAACGTTCTGGTGAGTGAGAGTCACATCCAGGATTGAGATATTTTTACCCACGGCCGGAAAGTGGGGACGACGCGTCCATGGTGGGGACCAATAGTTGGTGGGGGTATGCAGTGATTTTCACGGTAGCCCTGTGGAGAGCTTCGCGAACGCGCATGAGCACGCATGAGGGGAATAGTAGTGGGGATCGAAATACGGGCGAAAAACAGGGGAAGCGAGCCTCGTGGGTAAAAATATCTCAACCCTGGTCACATCTCGAGTGCAAAGGGTTAATACTATTCTTATATCGTGGGGCTGTTAGTGATATCTCTTAGACCTTTAGATGGAGGCGATTTACATTTTCTAAAAAGAACTTTTACTACAATCGGTTGCTGCAATATATCATTAATCAAAAAGATGTTCGGAACGAAAACTGGAAACAAGGACAGTAAGATAATCCTTAATTAATAAAAAACAGGTAGAACAAGTGTAGCTTGATTTTCAAATAGATAAAAGATTTTCTCCTGTCCTGGAAAAACACGGAGGTGTGTTAACGTACGAATCGCTGAAAGAGATGACTTATATGGACCAAGTAATTAGAGAATCGCAAAGATATTACGCGTCAGTGAATAACATGTACAAAGTATGTACAGAAGAGTGCACGTTGAAAGGATCAGACGGGCTTAAGTATCGTGTGAAACCTGGCACCGAAATTTTCATATCCGTTTATGGACTGCATAAGGATCCGAGGTATTGGTCCGATCCGGAGACCTTTGATCCAGATCGTTTCAGCGAGGAGAGGAAGCACGAGATTAATAAGATGACATTCCTCCCATTCGGCGAGGGGCCAAGGATGTGCGTGGGAATGAGAATGGGACTGCTGCAAATGAAATGTTGTTTGGCTACCTTGATCAAAGGCTATAAATTGGAATTGTCGCCTAAAACGAAACTGCCTTTCAAACTGCTGTCTTTCGTTTTTCTTACAGAAGCAGAAGGCGGAATTTGGGTATATCTGTCAAAACTTCGATAACAGTCAAACATGTAATATTGTAGGAATTATGGATTCTAATACACCGCGTGTACGATGTTTCATTTTCTTATTTCATAGCGAATTGAAAACCTAGTTAACTTTGCTATCTCACTAGAAAATAACAGTTACAATAGAACAGCAACGAAATTAGTGATAACTTACGTAACAACTGAAGTTTTCAATGTCAATTTGTCACATACCAATAACACTAACCAACACAAAAATAATTTTGCAATATCCATCACGTGATTCTTATAGAGATTCTCGTGCTGAACACGAATCTGGAAACAGAATTGTTCTATCACGTACGATTCTCGAAAAATTGCATGATAGTTCATAAAAATGTATGATTTTCAGGAAAAGTGAGATATTACAGGAAAACTAAGGGAGCGAGGAAGTTCATTTTGGAACCAAAAGATAGAGATGACTTTCCTGAATAAATCCATGTAAAATACTGTCTACATTCATACTTCTTATCAGTTGTAAATAATTGTTAAATTTCGAGAAAGCGCTGGCTCGAGTACTTTGCGTGTACTATTTTCGTATGTATGTGA